GGGGCTTTCACAAATTTATTTGGGTGGCTATCTTATGTACTAATTATAGAATGGGTTTCGGATGATCTCCTACGAGGGTCTGTCGCCAACGGTATGAGACATGGAAGAGGAAATTGATATAGGGAGGAAGCGCCAAACGAGTTAAAGAGTGAGGAGTTTGAGCGTGGAATCTCGGGTTATGACGTGGATCAACCGGCAGTGAAGAGGAGTCGTGTCGATCGGTCAGAGTCGGCTAATGAGGTGAGTGTAAAGGGGGTAAAATCTCTGTCGAGATCTTTTAGTTTATGCCTTTTTAATTCAGTTATGTTATTTAATTTTCAAGTAAGCGCGATTATGTGTGTGAGGCATCCCACCGCCTACTTAAGGTGGAGGCACGCGTTGTGCTATGTATGTGAATGTGTATGGTTGATGATAATGGAACCCCCGGGCGGTTGGGCCACTACTGGACGCGGTAGATGGTCGGGTCACTACTGGACGGCGATACGTAACGCAGTAGTTGACCGGGTATGGACTGGACGGCGATACGTAACGCAGTACCATTGCCTTGAGGATAGGGACACCGGACGGCGATATGTAACGCGGTGATTCCCTAGTAATAAGTATATAAGTTAAAGTAGTAGTAGAGAACTTCTATGATTTAAGGATAAAAGTTGAGAACCTCTATGAGTTAGAGTTGAAATGAGTTGTTAAGGATGAAAGCGAGAACGGCTTTCATGTAGGAGGAAGTAATTTCTAATAATGTGTTAGTAGGGCTTGCTTAGTCAAAGACCTTAGGAAGTAACGACGAGACTGACCCCTTCTCACTCACCAGGTTGGGGAAGGGTTAGCGGATGAGGATTTTGAGAAGAGGCAAGGCGATGCGAGCTGCCGCACCAGCATGGGCGAGACCTCAGGGAAAACAGCAAGGAGTTAGAGCTAGATTTAGTTTGATTATTTTGTTCATGATTAGGATTTTATGTACTGGAGATTCAAGGTTTAAAGATTCTATGTTAAGTTATTTTAAGTGTTTGAGATTGAGATTTTGCCGAAGTCTTGGGGCTTTTGTTTAAAATTCTTAAATAATGTCAGTTTGTGTATTTTAAAATATGGTTTTTGGGTTGCTCCGGAGTAACCGGTTTTCGGTTTGAGTTATGGTTTGGTTTTTGAAAAAGGTCGGGTCGTTTCATTCATCCTCTAAGTTTGTCAACCTATTAGCATTTAGCTGACCAAACCTACGATGAAGTTCATCCCACATAGTTTTAGCATTTTCATGACTCATAACAGTTCTCTTTATATCCTTCTGTAAAGAGTTCAAAATCCAGGTTACAACTGCAATGTTGCAACTATCCCATAAGAAATAGCTTGGATCGTTTCTGGCTGGAATCGCCATGGACCCATCGATGAAACCCAACTTGTGCTTGATCTTCAAAGCTTTCTTCATGGATCTACTCCACATGGAGTAGTTGTTCCCATCGAGTGCCTCAGAAACGTGGGTTGTGTGAAATTTTCATTTGGGTTCAAGTAGAGTGGGTTACCAAAAGTGATGATGCTGATGTTTCCAGATTGATTGCCACCATTAAATCCCAGTTCAGCACCAGATGTGTTGAAGACGCCGGTCGCACTCTGCGTCTCGCCAGTGAACGACGATGCTTCGTGCCCCGCAATCCCGTTGCGGAACCTGGCCTAGAACGGATGCTCTGATACCATGAGAAGTTTCTAGGTTTAGATTGAAATGTGCGAGAAATGTACAGGCAGCTATCTTGCTGCTCTGTCTTTTGTATTGATTCTCTGCAATTAGAATTACATATGACTGCCACGTGTCTCACTCACATTGGCTATGTTTAAAAGCTAAACAGTACTTAACGGCTAATGACTCTAAATAAAACGGTGTCGCAGCACCTCAAGAGCTTTCAGCCTATTCTAGGAAACGTCTCCATGACAGAAACGTTTCTCCTCCTTTTGTACTCTATTCGAATCTTCTTCTTCCTCTGCAATCCTGATAAGTCTCGGATTACATTTTTGTCATATTGGTCTTCCACTCTTCCTCTTCTTCGTCATTCTCATCGGCGTGCCCAGTGAAGAGGTCCGACGGTTAGCAGCGGTGCACCGAGTTTTTCTCGGTTAGCAACCAGCAACCGTCGGTTATAGATATTCCCCGAAAAATGGCAATCGACGCCGGCAACGAACCAATTATAGTCGGGTTTCGGTTATCCGATAAACCGATATTTCGGTTCGGTTGTCAATTAAACCGAATAACCAAGACCGGATTGTCACCCCTACTTTAAGGGGTCATTTGGATACAATATTGCAGGTATAGGTGTCAATCGGGCGGGTTCGGGCTGGGTTCGATCGGGTTCGATTTCAAACAGGTTGCGGGTTAGTCGGGTTGCGGGTTCATCGGGTTCGGGTTCATCGGGTTCGGGTTCAAACGGGTTGCGGGTTAGTCGGGTTGCGGGTTCATTGGGTTCGGATTCAATTGGGTTGCGGGCAAATCGGGTTGCGGGTTCATCGGATTTTGGGTCGGGCGGGTCGGGTTTCGGGTTGTTCGGGCCAGCGCATCAAGTAACTTAACTCATTACTCATTACCAACTTACACATTTTATTACACTAATTTAAAATATTTTCTCAACTTTTTAACCAATTTATTTCTACCTCGTATATATATACTTAATTTTTTTGAAAAAAGCTAGTCAAAATGTTAAATCAATTTGTATAACTTGCAAACTTGTTATGTAATTAATCATAATTGGTAAAGTATTATAGCTAATAGTAATGGTGATATCAATATTTGCAACCAAAAGACACCGTTAATTGTTTATTTGATATTTTAGTATTAATTCAGTAGTAATTGGATTAAAGTATCTCGTTTAGTATAACCATGCAAATCTGGTATTGCGTGTGGTATTTGGCAAAAGCATAGTGATAAAAGGAGTTATTTCAAAATAACTCATTGCCCAAATAACTTTAGTAAACTGTTGCCAAAAGAGTTATTTGTAAAATTGTTCGAATTATTCTAAAAATTGAACCATTAAAGATTAGCTATCAAATTTAGTAAAATTATTGTGACTTCAATCATAACTTACTCAATAGCATATATCCTATACACTTAGCTTTACCCTCAATCAACAATATTAAGTTAGTATATGTTGTTGATTGTATACCCTAAACCATCAATACATTATACACTAACCACATAACCTATACCCTAATCATATGTCCTTGAGTTGTGATTTTTCTAGTATAGTTAATTTAGAAGTGAAATTCATACTTTGATTTTAAAACATAGATAAAAAGTGATATTTGCTAATTGTTATACCCTAACCATATATCCTATACTTTACACCACATACCTTGTACCCTAACCACGTACCATAAACATAAATTAAAAAGGGATCTCCTGCCGTTAAAGACTTCAAATGACTTCAAGTGAACATATGTTAATAAAAAACTTAGAACCGTCAAAACCATCAATATCTTATACCCTAACCATATACACCATAAACCATATGTACATTATACCTTATACCCTAACCATATACTTTATATCCTAAACAACGAACCGTCAAAGATGACTTATCAAGTTTAGTATAAATTGTTGTAACTAATGGTTAATTTATTTATTAGCCCATAAAAAATTACATACATATATACATATTAGCCTTCAAAGCATATAAGAATAATTTTAACTAGTCATGCCCTCCATAAAAAAGTTAAAGATTCATATTTCAAAAGCTAAAATTATGAAAAACCAAAAAATTGGAAACACCAAATTTGTTTCCTTCTTTCTTTTCACAAAAATACTAAAATTTCCCTTCTTCTTTCTCCTTCCATACATTAGAAAAACTCAATTTTCCCTCCTCTTTCTCTTCCATAAAATTGAAAGAACTAAATTACCCTCTTCTTTCCTTCTACAAAAAGTTGAAAAGTCAAAAGTTTCCCTCCTTATCCCTCTTTCATAATCAAAAGAATCAAACTTTCCCACTTCTTTCTCTTCCCACATATCAAAACCACCAAAATTCTCACTTGTTTCTTTTCTAAAAAATTCAAAGAACCAAATTTCCCTCTTCTTTCTCTTCCCAAAAACTTGAATACACCAAAATTTCCTTCTTCATTTAAAAACATCAAATTATCAAATACATTACTTTGTTTTATTTATATTTAATTGATAATTTTATTGAATAGTTAAATTAACCAAAATTTTAATTTATATATTATATTAATATTGTCATGATCTCAAGTGACCTTCATGTTTCAATTTTTGTAATTTTCTTAAAATACGTAATATCAAGTGAGTTTCATATTTTTAAAATTTCTTATACGAAATGAAAAAATAATTTTACTTAAGTTTAGAATGAAAAACTTTATTTTGAAAAACTATGTATTGTATATTTTTATAATTATTCAAGTGGATTAGATGAAATTCGGGTTGAGTCGGTCGGGTTACGGGTTAGTCGGGTTCGGGTCAATCGGGTTCGGGTTAATCGGGTTGCGAGTCAGTCGGGTTGCGGGTCAATCGGATTCGGGTTAATCGGGTTGCGGGTTAGTCGGGTTGCGGGTTAGTTGGGTTGCGGGTCAATCGGGTTGCGGGTCGGGCGGGTTACGGGTTGTTGACTTTTAGTCAATTCGGGTTGCGGGTCGGGTTGATCGGGCGGGTTAATCGGGTCGGGCTATGTTTTGACACCTATAATTGCAGGGAGAGATTTATAAGAGATTTTAAAACAATACTTTGTTTGGAAAGGCAATAAATTTTGGCGGCTAAATTACACGTTTCGTCACTCAAATTTTATAAATCTTTCATGTTTGCCACCCGAATTACTTTTCTTTCTTATTTGCCACTAACTTTACGAATCGTTTCACCGTTAGTCACCGGCCGTCACACTCCGTTAAATTTGTCCTACGTGGCAGTCAACTATAAAGTTTGACCGTTAACTAGATGACGTGGAAATAAAAAAATTAAAAATTTATTAATTTTCCACCTCATCGTTGCTTTATCATATTATTCATTTAAAAAAATAATAAATTACAAAAAAAAAAAATTATTAAGCATTGAGGGATTATCGACAACCCACTTTTACACCCCTCCTCCTCTGTTTCTGCCCCCTCCCCCCAATGGTTTCCTCCCCCAGATCAGAAGGCCACAACCCACAATCGATATCTTCATCATCCCAATAATGCTAATGTTACTCACATTCGTCAACGGCGCCGCCTCAAAGTTCAATGAAGTCGACCTCTTCATAACTTCATTTGGGAAATCGAAATCCCCAATTGCTCGCCGCCACCGCCGCCCTCTCTTCCACCGGCTTGTCACTGAATCTCAACTCCCTTGCATCCGGCAACAACCCCACCGCCATTTCCTCCACCCGCACTGGTGAACGGCCGCCGTCGCGGGCCCCGCTTCTTCCTCAGAGAGTTCCTCCGGACCAGCGTCCTCAACAAAATCACCGCCTAAAATCCCGTCACCGTCGCATCCGCAACTCCACCGCCGGATAACTTTGCCACCGTCGCTTTCCTTCTCTTGATTTGTCTTCATCAACCCTACATTCATCTTTCCGATGCCCCTTAATCCTCCCAACAAGGTTCCGATCAAGAGGGATTCAGACGGAGGAGACAGTAACTGAGATCCGAAAGAGGGATGGAAGCACTGTTTATTTTTTGTGAACAAGCGCAGATAGGAGTCGTAGCGGAGGAGATCAAAGTTTTCAGGGCTGGAGAAGATATGGGGGGGGGGGGGGGGGGGGGGGGGGGGGGGGGGGAGAGGGGTCGCTGCTGTCGGAGTGGCGGAGCCGCTAGGCGCTGGAAATGGGAAGATGAAAGAAGAGGAATATGAATGGCGCCGCTCTGCAATTTCTTACTCTCCAGTTCCCCACTGTTAATTATTTTTTTCTGATTTATTATTAAATAATTAATATAACAATCATATAGACCAATTAAGTGAAATGATGAGCTGTTAAAATTTATTTATTTTTCTTTATTTTTTAATTTCCACGTCATGGTCAAACTTTATAGTTGACTGCCACCTAGGACAAATTTAACGGAGTGTAAAAGTCGATGACTAACGGTGAAACGATTCATAAAGTTAGTGACGAATAAGAAAGAAAAGCAATTCGAATAGTAAATATGAAAAATTTCTATAATTTGAGCAAGGTTGTCAAACCGGATTAAGTCGTCAAGCCGGTTTAGCTAAGGGTTTAAGGTTTAATGGTTGGATCGGGGTTCGACCGGTTTAAATCTGTTTTGAAAGTATATGTTGATAATGAATATTGGGAGTCATTTTGTCACAGGTTTTGGGCCGAAACCCATGAAAAGAAATAAATGGGAGCCATTTTGTCACAACCATTAATTCAGCCCATATAAATAAAACCAAAACCCTCATCACATTTTGAGCCTGAACAAACCCTAAAACTTCAAATAGATATTCTAGAGATGAAGCAGCAGTTGCCACCTAGAGGAACGCAGCAGCCGCCCACAACGCAGTTGCCGTCCACAACCATATCACCAGTGGAGAAGCAGCAGCTGCCGCCCATAATGCAGTCGCCAGTGGAAAAGGTTCCGCCGACCCAGAAACCGCCGGGGGAGCGGATTCGCTGTGCGGGAGAGGAAAACTATTCCCCATTCACCGCCTCAGAAACACAAGAGTCTCGTCCGTCCCAAAGCATTTTGCAAACATCGGTAGAAATTTTCCGATGCCGCCGCGCTAGTTTTCATCTTCCTTCTCCTCCTATCCCCTTACAACCGTCCGCCGCTTCCTTCCCTTCCTCCCCGCACAAAATGTCGTCGTTTCATTACTAACCGGTAGCCGGATAAGTCCGGTCAGACCGCGATTTTGAGCGATTTTGACCGGCTTTGACCGGTTGCCGGCTAGCTCTGAATATGGCTGGCGCTGGCCCCTTTTGTGTCCGGTTCCGGCCCAACCCGGTTGGACCGGCCGGTCAGAGTCGGGTTTGACAACCTTGAATTTGAGTGACTGAATGTGTAATTCAGCCAAATTTTGGCTGTTAGGAATTTTGTAATTTCTCAAATGCAAGTTTTTAAAATAGATAATGGGAATTAGCTATTTTCTTTCAGTTTTGTCCCTCCCAATTTTATTAAATCCCAACCCTACCCCTACCTTTCACACCATCGGACATCCCTTCTTCCCTTCTCGATCATTCATCCCCTCAAAATCCAAACACGGCAATCATCGTTTCCTAGTCGACGAAGATTGGATACGCCGGCAGAGTCTCAAGCTCAGGCAGATGACTTTCTCCGTGCTTGATTTCCGGTGAGGTCGCCGACTGAAGCAATCCGCCGCTTGCAAGCCAGTCGAAGGTTTGGTCCCGGTCTCCTCTCCGATTTTTATCATCCGCCGCCGTCAGCAGCAGCAGCAACCTGCCGCCTGCAAGCTCCCTCGGTCCTTGGCCTGGTCTCGATCTCTCTCTCACTGATTTCATCACCTGCCGCCGCCTACATCAACCCACCGTCTGCTGCAAGTTCCCTCGCGGCAGAGGTACCATCTGGGACAAGTCGAAGGGAAGAAGGGCAAAACTGTATTTTGCAGTTTTTCATCGAAAACCCAGACTTATAAACCGTGGGATTGTGAGGCAAAATCCTAGACTTTAGAAAACCCACATCCGACCATAAATTCCACTCCTCGGTTCTCTTCTTCAGTTCTTCTCTGTGTGCTTAAATTAATTGCTTCCTCTGAGAATCGACCTCGCGATCTTTGTCTCCCTCCCTCTGCGATTCATCAATTCTCCCTCTCTATTCCCTCCATAACCATAAATATACAGAACTTCAAATTCCCTCTTCCCGACGCTAACGAAATCCTCCACCAACTGAAAAACTCAACAACCCTCCCTTCTCTGCTCCACTCTCTGAAGTCCCTACTCCCCACCCGCCTTATCCTCTCTTCTCCTCATTTTTTTCGGATCAGCAGTGGAAGTAGAGAAACCCAATGGTGGCTTCCAGATTTCAAGCGGCTTCCTTGGTCGGTGCCCCTTCCTGCCCCAACGCCATTGCTTGGTCTGACGAGAACTTGATCGCAGTCGCTTCCGGCCACATTGTCACCATTCTGGTAACCTCCTTTCTGCTCACTCCTTGCTGTCCCAGTCGTCGCAACTTTGTATGTTCTTTAGCTGATTCCGTCTGGTGTTTTTGTTTTCTCTACCCAGAATCCAGCTTCGCCAATTGAACCTCGCGGCACTATCGCGGTTCCTACTGGAAAACATTACCCAATTGGCAGAGTTGAAAAAGAAGGTACCTTTTCTCCCTTTTTCTTCTTTCTTCCAAAATTTCCGCCAAAGGGTTTCTGTTAAGACGTTCCCGCCAACTGGTGGTTGCTTGCCTGGTCTGCAGATTTGCTCTCCGGTGACCTGCTGCCCACTGCTTTATCGAGGGATCGAAAACCCTGTGCTAGGTCAATTGCTTGGTCTTCTCTTGGAATGTCTCCTAATTATGGGTATGTACCTCCAATTACACCTTTACTTTGATGCGACTAGAATAGCTTCAGACCCGTTTTGTTTTTCAGCTGTTTGCTTGCAGTTTGTACATTTGAAGGCTGTGTGAAGGTCTATCGTCCACCCTTTTGTGATTACAGCACCAACTGGATAGAGGTATGCTTTCAGTGGTATTCCATTTTTAATGAGTTGATTGCAAATTTTTGTATGCCATCTGAATCAGAATACCAATTCGTTTTTGCAAATTCATATTAGGCTGCTGATATATCAGACATGCTGTATGATCATCTTGCAAAGATTAACTTTGTGGAGATAGACATCTCTACTTCAGAAATTCCTTCTGTGAGTTCTAAGGGCTTCTCTTACTACATGTTGTTATGATTTTTCATTTTTTGGCATGGTCTGTGGGGTCATGTTTGTCTTGAGTAATGAAAGGTGAGTCTCATATCCATTTATGCATGTCAGAATGGAGGGTCAAAGGGAAAATCTGCTGAGGATGATATGCCCAATTCGTCAACTGGCAAGATACTCAAGCCTGTTGTATTGAAGCAATACAAGCGGAGACGAGTTACCGTTGCTGCTCAGATGTAAAACTGCTTGTTCTTGTCTCTTACGCTGTTTGCTCTTACCATAGTATGTTTTTATTGTTTGCACATCTCATATTTGTAATTTTTCAGATATAATTTGTTGAAATGTTTGTACGCATATCTCATAATAGCTTGTCTCTCCATTGTGCTGTTTTACATGATGATGCTGCAGAAGCAGTCATGCTGATAGTTTTGAGCAACAATTATCAGAACCTAGACATGCTGAGATTACTAGCACTAAACCCACCCTTCTCAGAATATTGGATAGCAAGAAATCGCCCAAGGTAAGCTTTCCGAAATCAGGTTCTTTACCATACCCTTCTCCTTTTTTTCACCAGTCATTATGCTTCAAGCAATATTGGCATTTCTGCATGGGGACTAATTTGCTTATGTGCGCAGACGAAGCTCGCCAAGCTGGGAAAGAATAAAATGGGAAGCTGTACATTTCCACTTTTAATTTCAAAGGAGTATGCTGCTCGTAGTGCACTGCTTTCCTCACTTGTGGTTACATGGTCTCCATTATTGTGTTCACCATCAAACAAAGGTTTCCCATCTTCAGATGATCCATTCCAGAAATATTCTATTCTAGCTGTTGGAGGGAAGTCGGGTAAAATTTCATTCTGGAGAATTAGTGCACCTCAATGCTATTCAATTGAGCAATGTAAAGCCCCTACTGGTGTACTGTTTCTTGGGCTTCTTCAGGCGCATACTTCATGGGTAACTGCAGTGAGTTTGGAATTACTTGTTTCAAACTGTGAGCCCCGGGTTGTAATGGTTACTGGCAGTACAGACGGAAGGTGAGTTAAAGGTAAACAAGACACCCAAGTATAGTTCAGAATGCGCCAATGAGGAATGAATTCTTTTTTCTCCTTTTTCATCTTCAGTGTGAAGTTGTGGCTGGGGAATGTGGAAGAACTGAGTAAGTTATCAGAAGCTAGTAAAGCAGCTCCCTTTGTCCTAGTAAAGGAGGTAGCTGTTTGCAGTCTGGTTGTAACTGTTTATATTCATTTGAATTAATGTTGGGCTTCAGTACTAACACTAGCCTTCCAACAGGTTATTCGTGTAAATATTGTCCCAATTTCGGTTCTTTCGGTGCTGCTACCTGCTCAACCTGTGGATAAAATGCGTATAGCAGTTGGCAAAGGATCAGGGTCTTTCGAAATTTGGACATGTGACACATCAAACTTCAAACTTGACAAAGCTGGATGTCATGATGCTCATGACTATGCTGTATGTACTCTAAATCTGTTCCTCTCTCTCCATCTCTCTCGGTTCTCTCAACCATAACTTACACTAGAAAGGATGCATCAGGTTACAGGTTTGTGTTGGTCTTCAGATGGACTTTCTTTGTACAGCTGTGGCCAGGTAACATCATTCATAGAAATGGACAAACTAGCAAAATTGACCCTATTGTTATTATGTGTCAGATTGTTAACGCTCCAACTTTCAACATGTTCCAGGACAACTATTTACGTAGCTGGATCTCAAGTGGGGGATGCCTCTCCGAAGTGTCCATCCCCTTGAACATTCCTGGTCAAACCGGTTCACATGAAGTGGGTGGTTTGCTAACTTCCCTGTGTCTCCTTTTCTATCGGAATCCCGTTTTTCCCTTGAGAAAACAATGAGCTTTCTTTTGCAGGTTCCTGATGCTTTGCGTTCATGCCTGGGCGTTGTAGCATCACCTGGAAATCTCATGGTTGCAATGGTAAGAGTATTCTCCCACGTTTTATTCTCTCAATGAAGTTTTAGTCATTTCAAACTTAAGTTAATTACTAGGTTCTTACTTCTGGCAGGTCCGTGATCTTGATGTTGAGCTATTGGGCCAAATGTACGAGGCAAGGTAAGTTTGAATAACTTGATTAGTTTGCAATAAAGTATATAAACCAATGTGATCTTAATGGAAGACCCCTCAAAATTAGTCCCACTTTCTATTTCCTGAAAAACTTGCAGGGCTCAGAAGGCTGTAGTTGAATTTTTGTGGATCGGTGGACAACCAGTGGAGAGCACCACCACCAACACTTCACTAGACTCTTACAAAGAATCATTTCCCGGATTCACCCCAAACGAATTGGCCTGCTGGGAATCCAACATCCTATGGTCATTGAAGCAGTACGAAGATCCAAATAAGTCTTTAGTAGTATGGGATATCATAACAGCTCTTTTGGTTTTCAAAGATTCGATTCCCAATTATGTCGACTATTTACTGGGTAGATGGCTATCCACAGCATTCTTGGGTGGTCAGAACACAGATTATCGTCCCCTTGGCGAGGTGCTGACGCTTTCCTCAAAGTGCTTCTCAGAAGTCCCATCTCGCCTCTTGCACCTTTTAAATATCATGACCAGACGAATAATTCTGTCTGAGATGAAGGCCGGGGAACTCAACTCCAGTGTCACCACTGACACTACCAGTGTCAGAAATGAGACACTTGAGCTTGGTTTGCGAACACTGCTAGGAAGTGAAAGAGAACTCCGAGAGAGGCTTGTGGGACTTAGCTTTGCTGCTGTTTCCGGTGGGTCTCACTCGGCAGCTAAAACTTCCTTACAGCCTGAAACTTGGTCTCCATTGGGAGTCATGCAGATGGAGCAATGGGTTGTATTTAACCATGCTCACGTGAGGAATCAACTCAAGGTCCTTGCATCAGAAGCTCAGAAGCATACAAGGTAACTCCTTTCATCCTTAAAAGCTTCATATATATCATCAGGTACTTGGTTTTGGTATTTGGGGACAGCCATATTTGTAATACCATACAATTGCACAAACATAACACTTCTGAATAAAACACATGCATTTTGAAATTCATCAAAATGATACAATCTCAAATATCAGGGATATGAAATGATTATAAAAAAAAACTAATTTTAGTGAAGTGGGATCCCGCGTCTCTTTCAGATTTTTAGTACGATTTCTTATACATATGCATTGACGAGACACTGTTGTTACATTACACTCACGAAATAGCATGCAATTGGGGTAAGTGTTTGCCTGCTGAGTCAATGTATGCGCATTTTGCTGACTACAAACAGGATGGGCGGTGACAGTAATGCTGCAACAGAGCAGTGCATCTTTTGTACAGCCTCAGTTCCTTTTGAGTCTCCGGAGCATGCAACTTGCCAAGGTGCAGAGAGCATCAAGGGAGACATGGAGAAACATGAAGTGCCTAGATGTGCAGTGTCAATGCAGGTTTGCCCCGCGAGTCCTTTGTGGTTCTGCATATGTTGTCGCAGGAAGGTACACAAGCTGGCTCCTGAATATCTGTTTAAGATGCCTAGGTTTCCTACGGATTTCAGTTCCTGGAAAGAAGCTTCTGCTGTTGAGAAGTCCCCAAGACCCTTCTGCCCATTTTGTGGGATTTTGTTACAGAGAATGCTGCCAGATTTTTTGTTGTCGGCGCAGCCAGTGTGAAGGGGCAACGGTTGTTTGTTGTGCTGTACAATACTGTCTAGAACTATAAGTATAAAAGTAGATTTCTGTTTCTAATGAGATGGAAAAGTGGCTTTTGCTACCGGTTCACTGTTATCATGCATGATGTAAAGTAGCCATCCATTGTAATCATGCATGATGTACGTGCTGTACATATGAGTAACCTGGATATTGTCTTGTTGGAGTTTTCTTATTGTCTACTCGAATTTTATTAGAGAGAGCTGATGTCTTTGGTGATCGAACGGTTTGAATGAATCGGAGGGTGTTCCACTCTGGGTTTACTTGCTGGCCTAGCCCAATTCCAAATTATGAGGAACTGTCAGATCATGTGTACGATGGAAGCTACAGTTGGTTAGTGTGTGGGTTGAGGGTTATAAGTTATAACTTTAATTTTTTCAAATCCAACAATCAAAGTAAAACTTTGGTCCAGTTCAATGTATAAAATAGGAGTTCAAGGTATGAGTAGATATTGTCTCAGTAGCACTAAATTTCAATGATAACCACAGCAGCAAGAGTGGTCTAGTGGTAGTACTCTGCCACGGTACATATCGCTTCCCGGCTAGTGCACATCGAGTTATGATGAATTCTGCGTTCTCTGTGGGAGTGGTCCTCTCACTGCTGTCTGATCTTCCGACATAATGTTCTTATCTATCAAAGTTTGATTTGGCAGTTCTGTTTCCTGTTATTGCTGATGTTCTGGAAGTTGGCAAGACTTTGTATACTGGCGTTAATTGGAGCTTGTAGCAGCATGTTCAATAAAGAAAGTGAGCATTTCCAGTCCCATATGCCAGCGTCTGCCTATGTGAAGTTCTTGCAAATGCTATTGAATTGACAATCTGTATTGATATGAAATGCTTCAGTGCCATGGATTACAGAACTTCATCCCAGGTTCAATTGTTGTGGGCATACAAGTGGTCTGAACAATAATGAATATAACTGAGCCGAACTTTGAAAAGTCGTAACTCCCTTCGAATTACAAATTGAAGTGATTTGCTCGAAGCGCTATAGCTCCACCACTTTGATGAAGTGTCTGTTTCTCCGAATCCAAGATCCCTCATCTACTACGGACCGACTATCACAGTAATATCGTCAAGCTTCCCACCTGCCGACAAAAGACTCGAGCAGTTAACCATTTCTGCTAATGTTACAAAGAGCGGGTACCGGCCAAAAGGGAGGAAAATGTTGAAGTAGGAAAAGAAAAAGGTCTGCCGTGCCTGTAGGTTGCATGCCAAGGATCTTTTTCCACCATGGTAAATCAACACCCTGCCAAGAGATGAAATGTTTCATCATTATAGATACAGGTCAACTATGTATGTAGTCATATAGATGTGAACGAATTTTGTAAGTTTATCAGATGTTCACCTTGGACCTGGCTTCCAATGCATAGGGCGACTCGTAGCTCGAATCCAGTGAATGTACTCACGCTAAGTTAGCCAGAACCTTTGCTACCATTGCAATTGTCAAAGTTACCACAGCCAATTAGTAAAAAGAGAGAAGAAAGTAACACAACTAAATTACAACAAATAACTTGCCAGCATCACTAACATTTCAATGTTGGCATATCATGGAAACAATCTCATGCTCAAACACATTGTCGAAAATGACATCAGACCCCAATACAATGATAATCGACATCAATCCTTTCTAGACTGCTAACCTTTGCGAAAGGAAGTTCTTCGACATCATCTAAACATAGAAAATCAAATGATTATTGCTGCAGCAATACGAATGAACATATCATAGCATCGAGATATGTCTGGCCTACAGTTTCTGAACTCAATTGATACGGACAATCAAAATAGTGTTCTTGTGGATAAGTGGAGAAAATTATTTGCCCTGTAATTCAAATAAATCGTATGATCCGCCCTCATTTGTGTAGAATAAATGAATGACAGAAGTAAAGGGATGCCAAATAGAATGATGCGGGGAACACCAACCTCAGAATCAAGATTAATACCTTCACGGATAAGCTTTAGTCCACAACCTCCAACATTTGCGAACTTCCGTGTTCCATTTCCCTCCAGCACAGCCACAATCCTGAATGACCAAAACATGATTATGACAAGTAGTGCAGGATCAGGTGCCTCTGAAGAAATAAAGCTGCAGCAACTAAGACAAAGAATTGGACTTTACAGTTTACACGGTAGCTGAGCCGATTGAGGAGGTAGCAGCATGTGCTTTCCTGATGAGAACTGAGGGATTGTAGTTGACCTGCTCTAGATTAAAACCAATGCCTCAATGAGTCTTACAACCAAAAGGCAACAAGCATTCAGCCCCTAAATCTCTCTAGTTACTTCCCTGTACATTACTGCAATGCTAATATGATAATGCTGCCTCATCATCTGGCACCAAACCAGAAAGCATTGCAATCAGTTCCCGAGAAGAAGAAAAGTGAAGGATCCACATCCTCTTCAGCCCAACTGAAAAGCAATAACAATTGGTTTGCATGTTACTGATACTAGCAAAGCATATCAACTTCCCGCTCTAGCAGAATGAAACGAAAGGGAAAGCGGAACAGTGCAACTAGTCAGCAATGCAGTCAAAAGCGCGATTCTACCTAGAAGCGGAAAATGGGTAAAATCGTAAACCGTAGAATCAAAGCGTAAAAACGTAAGTTTTTGACACATACTGTAAAATAACGGAAAATGTGTTAAGTACGACATATACTATGTAAAATATGAGTGCACATAGTTTAGATAAGTTAATAAATACCTGTAATTCATGTCTAAAGTTGAGAAACTCATAACATTTTAACAATAAGTTCATAAACATATATCTTAACGATAAGCTACCTTCCCCTCTAAGCTAGTGATTTTGGGAAGGGCCTAGTTGGTGAATTAGTTACTCTATTGAAACTAATAATGCACCCAAGTACTTGATATGTATCTTTTAATCTTAAATATATCATATTTTTTTGTGATTTACCTGTAAAATATAAGTATTTTCGTGAATAGAATACTCCTTTAGTGAACTAGAAGCGTAAAAGCGTAAATCGTTTTGGTGAACCAGAAGCGTAAAAGCGTAAGCTTTTAAGCTTTAAAGCGCATTTCAGTCCCGATTTTATACACTTAAGATTTTATATGGAAACGAAAGCGTTTTAGTGTTCTAGAAGCGTAAAACCGTAAGTTTTTAAATTTTAAAGCGCGATTTTGACTGCATTGCTAGTCAATTTCAATTAGGTTACCCTGAGACACCATCAGCAATATCAAGGACTCCACCATTATAGCTACTTATGAAAAATGCATCTTTCCCCGCCCTTTTCCACCTGTGAAAAGAATTAGCATCAGGGCACAAGACGAGATCATCCAATGTCGAACAGCCTGGAACAAAGAATTTACTACCACTGTCTAGTGTTCAACACAGAGTGATACCTCTGACCTGCAAATCCCATTGATACGTTTTTATCAGGAAGTAGCCTGAACCTCGAATCCCAGACGCAACCTACCTACCCATTTCCGCCCTTACGAATTTGGATCAACCTCCAAAAACTAGATCATACATATTTCCATCACTTGCTATGCACATTTACTCGTGACCAAAAGGTTTTCCGGTAGCCGATTTGGATGCAACTCCGGGGGGGAATTCGTGTTTGCTCGTGGGAAGCGGTAGAAAAATACATGGCAATTCGGGCCGAAGAAATGGAAACTGGAAAGGGGACAACGCAAGCTGACCGGAGAGAGTTGAGCTCCGCTAAGCAGCAGCAGCTTCTTCTTCTTGGAGGTTCCATTTACAGCTGAAGTCCATGGAACCGGATGCAGGGAGTGGAACAGTGGATTGGAGTGTGGAATTGATGCCTTGAAAATGGGAGTCGTCATTTTCCCGCTTCAACTCTTTCTCAGCACGTCCAGGAGCTCCTTGCTTCGTTCGCTCTGTCACACTCTTTCTTCTACTGGATGGATTGGTGGTGAAATTGGGAAATGAAACATGTTTATAGAATTGGTAGTAAAAGTGAGGAAACCCATCCAACAAGCACCAGTGGTCTAGTGGTAGAATAGTACCCTGCCACGGTACAGACCCGGGTTCGATTCCCGGCTGGTGCATTTCAAATCGGGTTATGATGAACTCTGCGCTTTCTGTGAGAGTGGTTCTCTCGCTAACGTCTGATCTTCGGACGAAATGTGAGCGCATCTGAGCTCGAGTTTTTTTTTTCCTGTCTTTTTTTGGTTCTCAATTAATTCTTTCATCTGCCCCACATTCCTACCATTTTCCCGTTTCCAGTAGCTACCATTTGCTAAGTAATACAGATACACTCTTCCACTCTACAACTAATCTCTTCGTTCCTCGTCAAGAATCCGATCAATGGCTAATAGTTCTTCTCTTTGTTGTCTGCGTTGTTGCATCTCCTTGCACTTATTAAATAGGTAATGCTTGTGTGAGTCCACAATATTAGTTGAAAGATATACACAAAGGACTGAAAGTTGGTCCTTCTAGATAATGTCGTACCCGAATGCATGTTAATAGTAAAAACCTAGCTACTTATGTCGCATTATGAAATTTCATTGCCATTTTTGCTAATGAGTTTTGTGAAAGATGCCTCCAATCCCAGTCCCCAACCTCCATCCTTAAATGGCTCGCCTGTAGCTATCTCAACGTCCCTCTCGTCTGGGTTTCTATAAAAGAAACACATACAGTGATGGGTTAGTTTCTCAAGGATGGCCAGTCATGGTGATCAGTAGCCACGCAATGCAATATTGGGAAGGCACGCTGCAAATAAAGGTGAAGAAGAAGGAAGAGATGATCATATTCAATGGGGGACGCCATTCCTGAATTGTCTGTCTTTCAAGCCCTAGTGGGCTGCGTAAAGTAAAGAAACAGGCCATTTACAGAAGTTGAAGTTTCAGTTCTTAGTGAGAAGGAACGAAAATGGTGAGATGTCTGTTTTCCAAGCTTTTCTGTCCTCCCCTCGGGATTCCGCTTATTATAGAAACCAGTTACACTAAAAAGAAGAGAAGTAGAAGGAAAAAAAAAACCCTTTACTATTCTCCTTATTTGCTTCATCCTCCCGTTGCTCATTCCAGAAGTATTGATCTATTCCAACCATTATTCATCCCTCCCCTGTTCTCTGCCTCCTCTGTTTTTGTTCCAGCAATCAGCTGTTTTTATAGCCTTGCTCCCTCTAGAAACCACAGGTTTTAGCCTTAACCTTCAAGAGTCGCAATTCCCAAAAGAATCAATCAGTTCCCACCATTAATTCTACAGTCCTTTGAAGTTTCAGATACCATCCATAATATAAATAAATAAATAAATTCAGTCAGCTGGGCTTCTTTCTAGTCCGCCTTACCGAATCCTCTGTTTCTATTCCATCCTCCCACTGTTTACCTTACTCTGTTCACTACACTCCCCTGTTTTATTCTTTCTCTGTTCCTTCAAAAATGAGAATTTCCACTTCTTCTTGGATGGCACTTCTGATCACTTCCGCGGTAATCTTCTCCGCTGCCGCCGCCGCCGCCTCTGCTGTTCTTCATCTGGAGAGAATGATTCCTCTAAATTCTTCCGTGGTTGCTGTGGAGCACCACAGAGCTAGGGACCGAGCCAGGCACGCCCGTCTCTTCATTGGCCTCGTAAATTTTTCTGTATATGGCTCTGCCGATTCTTTCTACTACGGGTATGTTTCTCTAGCTTTTTGCATGTGGCTTAATGCTCTGTTCTCTACTGAAACTTCAAGACTGTAATGGTGGTTGCCTCGGAAATTTTGGCGCCAAAAACGACAGACAAAATCTTAACACAGCCAAACTAGTTGGTTTCCACTTTCCAGGATGTAAAGAGCACGACGTCGTTTGGTCTCTCATAGTCAATTAATTAAATTAATTTATTTTAACTAACCAATCACAGCCTTGATTTCTTTCTCATTGGAATTTATGCTATTTTATTTTACTTTTTTGTTTGCCGCTGATATTGTGGGTTCGAAAACAGATAGTTTAATCTTTGTTACCAAGCCCAGGGAAGGAAACGGCCCATTTAGGCACATAGCCTGCGGGCCGAAAATAATTTAAGCCCACTTTGCAGAGTTCATTCCTTCCTTCTTAGTTCTTACATACCTTCCTTGACACGAAACCCTAATCTGCAAATCCACCCGTCTCTATTCTCTGCTGTGCAAAGAAAATTAGGGTTCTTGTGAGCTCAACACTTCTGTTGTCAGTCAATTACCTTAGTCATCACCCAACCCTTTGATTTGATCCTCGTTTGTTGTTTTATGGGACAGAATTTATTTCACGAAAGTGAAATTGGGCACTCCCGCCAAATATTTCAATCTCCAGATTGATACGGGGAGTGACCTGACTTGGCTCAACTCCAAGTTCTGCCCGACGTGTCCGCGCTCAAGCCGATTCGGGGTGAGTTCTGTTTCTTGTGTTCGGTAACTTTAGTTTGATTGAGTTTATTTGCTCTAAAGTTGTCAATCAACTCATAATGTATTCATTTCTGTGCAGATCGAGCTCAATCCGTATGAGGCAGCAGCTTCTTCCACTTCCAAACCCATTTCTTGCTCGGACAAGATTTGTGCTGCTGTTGCTCCACGGAATACAACTCGATGTCCGAGGAAAGACCAACTCTGTAGCTACGCAATGGAGTATATGGATAGGGCGACGACATCAGGAAATTACGTGGCGGATATGTTTCACTTCGAATCAGTTCGGTCGGGCTCAGAGACTCCTAACGCCTCAGCAGCGATCCTATTCGGGTAAGTTCTTATGCTTACAACTGATAAATATTGATAAACACACCAGATATATCAAAGTTTAGTTGCTATGCATACAACTAGTAACTAGTAGGATAGCTAGATGATTCATATTGAAGAAGAAAGTTCACCTGGCTAGCTTACAGTTTCTGATGGTTGCAAGTATTAATTTGGTGATAAAAATTTAGAACATATGTACTGATCAAGTCTAGGATGACCACCAATTCAATGTCAACAAACCCTTTCATCATGTTGTACATTACAAGTAGATCCAATTTGTGGCATTAGGTCACTAGATGAACCCTTGATGAATGCTTATTTGGATACAGTGTCAGCACCTACCGGTCCGGTGTCTTGGCTGAGACAATCCTAGCTGTTGATGGCATTTTCGGATTTGGAAAAGGCAATCTGTCCGTTCTCTCTCAGTTATATTACAGAGGGATCACACCTCGAGTTTTCTCCCACTGTTTGAAAGGAGAGGGAACTGGAGGTGGGGTTTTTGTACTTGGAGAGATTACAGCTCCAGGGATGGTGTATACCCCACTCGTCCCATCACAGTAAGCATCATTTATATTATGCAACTCTGAGTTGTTACTGTTCAATTAGGTTGTGAAATACGAAATCTTTATTGCCTAAAGCTTCATCTTCACACTTGCAGGCCCCATTACAGCTTACACTTGGAGAGCATTGCAGTTGATGGACAGACGGTACCAGTTGATCCTCTAGCCTTTACACCATCGGCTGATCGTGCAACATTTATTGATACCGGAACAACATTGTCGTACCTTGTTGAAGAAGCATACGATCCATTTGTCCACAGTGTAAGTAACAGTCCTTCCCCGGGCCTTAGAATTATAGTGTGAAAATGCTTTTGAACCCTTTGGATTCTTCTTTAGTGTGTAAAACTAATGGCTCGTTGGAATTTTAGGTTAATGCTGCGGTATCAAAATTCGGGACTCCTAGAATGAAAAATGGGTACCTTTGTTACCCAATCAGTTCCAGGTTTGACATTGTACTATGAAAAGACTGGTTTTTCACGCTTAGGTTTGGTTATGGTATATCTCATATGTGTATCGAACCTTTATATGCAGGCTATTTCCTCCAGTAAGCTTGAACTTCGCCGGCGGCGCTTCTATGCTACTAAAACCCGAGCAGTACCTTGTTCTTTATGACGTAAGTAGACACAGCTCAAACCTTGGCTATTGAGGATGTTATACTATGTATGGAATGCAATGGTTTTCCCCCTCTGCCAAGTCTCATAGGCCAATGTGCCATGCATACTTCCTTGACACAGGATGGCAGTATGTGGTGCATAGGTTTTAGGAAGCTTCAAGGACTAACCATTTTAGGAGGTTAGGGACCCTAAAATCTTCGATCCTGTGTATTTTTCATCAGGAAATGCCAAGCCAAGAATGAAACATGGTGTTAAAGACTGTCTTGTTTAGTATTCTGATTTTGACTGCATTTGTTGTCAATTGCAGATCTTGTTATCAAGGACAAGATTTTCGTGTACGATTTGGTTCGTCAACGGGTTGGATGGGTCGATTATGACTGTAAGTGAAGATATATCCATCCTTATGCCAATGCAGTTTCCTTTCGAACAATATATCTGATTGATCTCCTCGATCGTACCCCTCTTTCAGGCTCGTCATCAATGAATATCTCGGTTTCTAGCGAAGACTTCTTCAATCCGAAGCAGTCAAGTTCGAGCAGCTCCTCAAGAGACTTGCTCTTCCAGTTACTTACCATAGCCATCGTCACTGTAATCTTATCCATTTAGAGCATGTCACTTAGATTACCATATCATTGATTCACTACAAACTGGAAACCAGAAAATAGTTCTGGTGCCTTTCCTTTTTGACAAGTTACAGCTATTTATCTCCCTTCCCTCTGCTTCCTCGAAATTGAACCAAGTGCTTATAAGTTGTAAGGCTGAACCATCAAATTTGCACTAATCATTTTGTCATTGGAGTCAACTGGACATTTGGTTGATGGATTGTGATTTGTGAAACACTTCCATTCAGTCCCCGTTGTCTTCAACTATTGTGTCTGAAGTTGAGGTTTAGGCAATTTTTCTTAATGTACATTGGTGAAGAACTATGAACTCTTCTGAAATGGAGCAATTAGTGTTATATCTCACAGAAAATGAAGGGAAGGGAGAGCAGAGCTTTTGAATTGGAGAAAATTACACAGCAGAGAGTTAGTAACTCTTTACCATATATTGATGCAAAATTTCTTACCAAATATTCAGATTACGTTTCTTTCTAATATTTTTTGGATTACTGAATTCTGATTTTATTTTACATTCATTCTGCTATGTAATGTTTAGAATTTCTCTTTCTAAATGTGTCATAAACCTAATTGTTAAGCTAGGCAAGGTAATAATGAAAAAAAAAGGTAAGGTAATCAGATCTTGTGTAGAAGGGAATCATTAAAAATTAAAATACTGTTGTTTTACTTGATGGAAATCATTTAACACTTTCCAAAATATTAAACAAAAATCATAATAAACCAAATCCTCCTACCCTTATCTTCTTCCTATATAAACTAACAACTTGATAGCTTCAGTATCTCATTCCTTGTGGATTAAAATTTTAAAAGAGGAGTCTTCCTAAAAAAAAGTTCAAAAGAGAAGAACCGATACACTCATCAAGTGAGAAAAGATATCCAAGCATCATGAATATGTCTTATTTCAAATTGTTGATATGTATCATACTGTTGATTGTTACTGTTCCTGGTATGTATATTATTGTTTTTCTTGAATGATTAGACATGGAGTTCAATGCTTTTGTTTTTCTTGTTATTATGAATTAACACAATCAAGAGAAATTTATCTCGAATAAATCAAACTTATAACTAAAATAACATTTGGGTACGTACCGCAGGTGAGAAGAAGAATAGCTTTGCATTTCAAGGAGGATGTCCAAGCGCACCGTGTAGATCTAAAAAAGACTGTTTTCCCCCACACTACATCTGTGACTTGGCTTTGCATCTCTGCATCTGCAACAATACAAAACCAGTAACGAATAATGCAAACCATATTGTCCAAACTTCCAAGCTAACATGAAGAGGGGAATTGGGAATATGCATATTCATATTGAATAAAAGAAATGGAACCAAATAATCAATGCAAAATTTTCTTTGTAAGGCAATCAAATCATATATGTGAATTTTAAAGCTGTCGCTTTTCTTTCTTTGTAATGTGCTCTGCTCATATCTCGATTCTCGAGTTACTACTCTCCAAATTTGTGAATCTATGAAACAATGTCAATTATGTTGGTTTTGGTACCACTTATAAAAAATCAGAAACGTATGAAGGAACCCATCAATGGGAATATTACCAAAAGTCCTAACCTAAGAAGGTGGCTACTATTATGCCCACACGGACACGGCCGCATCCAAAGACGTTCACCCGAATAAGTTCACCCACATCAAATCCCTATCCATACATGTAGTTCATAAAGAAAAGAAAATCAAAATCATTATGTGTTGGGTACAAAATAACTAAGGGGGTCGTTTGGATTGTAGTGTGGTATTTGTGCACAAATAATGCGTTTTTTTTAGATTATGGTATTTAAGAGTTATTTGAACTTGCAATGTGATCTTTTAATTTGATTTATATTATTTGGCTAAAGCTGGGTTATTTGTAGGGGGTGTTTTCTCCGACCACCTCCTTCCACCGCCTGAAAACATAGAATGAAGAAAAGCAGGAGCGTAGGCGATCGAGGAATTAGAGGTGGGTCCTTAAAAAGTATTTATTGGCTAAATATACCACTTCAAATCACAACGTCCAAACGAACCCAAAAAAAAAAAATACCAGAATAACAAATAGAAGTGAAAGCAAGTTATAGTGTTGAGCTACACGAGACAATTGAGACCCTTTTATTTTTATTTTTTATTTTTTTTTGTGGGACCTTTTCTTTTTATTAATATATATTCCTATCATCATTCATTTAAAAATATATTAAATAAGAGACAATTTTTTTATTGATTTATAGATTTCCTTCTGTTAGTTTATTAAATAGATGGTAATTAGAAGAAAAAAGGTAAGGTATTTAAGAAAAAAGGTAAGATAATCAAATTTTGTGTGGGTGAGTATTGAGTACTCAAGGAAAAAATTATGATTTTAGATTCTGATATTTTTATTTTTGGTATATATTGTTATTAGTATGAGGAAAATTTACTTTTGCAAAATAAAATGATAAATAAATAATATAACACTTTCCAAAAGATCAAACAAACAAAAAAACGAAATATTGCAAACTTACCTACTCTTATTCTCTTCCTATATAAACCAACAACTTGAATGTTCTATACATCTCACTTCTTTCAAACTCAAATTGCAAAGAGAGGGCCTATACGTCTGTCAACTGTCAAGTGACAAAATATATACAAGCATCATGAAAATGAATTCTTTCAAGTTGTTGATATGCATGGCGCTTTTGGTTTTTACTATTTCTGGTATGTATGTTATGTATCTTTTCTATTTAAATAAAATTGAGAGAAAATTGTCTAATAAGAGAAAAACTTATTATATTGAAAATAACATGGCATTTACTACAGGTGGGAAGAACAATGGTTTTAGAGCAGAAGGCGGAAGGTTCCAAGCTTGGTACAGGAACACTACATAATTCAGCCTACCTAAGTTGACAAACTTCACATGGAGGAGTGCTTTACCAACAGGACATTGATAAGAAAAGCCACCTAATGTATTTATACTAGAGACATGGCATGCTTGGGAGATTCTCAAATATCATCATGTCTCCAATCCCATCTGTGAAAGAAGAAAAAGAAGGCAAGAGTTAATGCATGGGCCAATGGAATTAAATTTGTGTTTCCATCTTCCACAAGTGGCAACGTGGGTGGAGGAAATAGATGGCCATTTGTATTAATTGTAGTATTAGTTTCTCTTTCAATTGCAATTATATATATGTATGAAATGATATGGGATGGGTAGAGAAGAGAGTGTCAGAGAGACATAAAAAAAGAAAGAATGGAGTCTCTGTATCTATGTGAGTTGTAAGAACAAGTGCCAAAAATTAAGGCCTTGTTTGTTTGAGTGTTTATTAAATTGAGTGATTAAACACCATTGTTTCCTTTGTGTTGATCCTAATTTCTACCACAATTCCGCTAATCCCCAACAAATTTGGTATCAGAGCTTAATACCCTTCTATCCTCTCAAAAATCCCCAAATTTCTAGCCTACCCAATCCTCTAAAAAATCCATGGCAACAACTTCCTCAAACACCATGTTTGCTACCTCTTCTAATCAAATTCCCATTTTCGATGGAGAATTGTACGAGTACTGGAGTGCCCAAATGGAGCCAATTTTCATCTCTCAAGATCTGTGGGATATAGTCCAAGATGGCTATGAAAGTCCGCAGGAAGATGATGAAGACTCGAAGAAACGATCAGGCAAGCAGACAAAGGAGTACAAGGAGAATGCCAAGCAAAATGCCAGCGCCTTGAGAATCATTCAGCAAGCAGTGAGCAAATCAATTTACCCCAGAATCTATGGCATCAAAAAGGCCAAAGAAGCTTGGGATGTCTTGCGTGAACAATTTCAAGGTTCTGAAAAGGCAATCTCTATCAGGCGCCAAAGTTTATGGCGACAGTTCGACAACTTGATGATGAAGGAAACCGACACCATCAAAGACTTCCATTCGCGTGTGGCAGAGACAGTCAACCAAATCAAAGCCACCGGTGATGTCATGGAAGAAAGAAAAATTGTGGAGAGAATTCTCCGCAGTTTATCATCAAAGTTCGAGCATATTGTTGCTGTCATTGAAGAAACCAAAGATCTGGCAAATCTACCAATGAGCGAGTTGATGGGCTCACTTGTAGCACACGAGCAAAGAATGAGCCGCTTCACCAAACCGCCATTGGAGCAAGCTTTCTCGTCAAAAGTCAACATGGCGGAAAGTAAATATGCCAAATCGGAGCAAGGCCAGAGAGGGGGAAACTCACAAGGGAGAGGAAGAGGAAGATCCAATTACAGAGGAAACAACAGACAAAATTATCAACAACAAAGATCGGGCTACACCGGCTCGAGTTGCATAATTTGCAAAAAGGCGGGTCATGCAACAAAAGACTGCAGATTCAAGTGCACCAAGTGCAAAATTCAAAACCACTCCCAGAGAGATTGCTGGTTCCAGAACAAGCAAGAAGATGGCGAGTCAAGCGGCACCAAAAATGAAGAAAGCAATATGGTGGCCTTGTCATGCTTGTATGGTGAGCAAAAATCACAGCTTCCCTGGATGGTGGATAGTGGTTGCAGTAACCACATGACTGGAGATCTGGAGTCCTTCACCGACATCGATGACAAATACCGCTCTCAAGTCAAATTGGGAGACGGGAAGAAGCTAAAAGTGGAAGGAAAAGGCACAGTTATTGTATGCACAGAAGAAGGCAACAAAACTCTCATTCGAGATGTTTTGTATGTTCCGGAGCTAACTCTCAATCTACTTAGCGTGGGACAACTGATGCAGAAAAATTACAAGCTATTGTTTGATAATGGCGTGTGCGAGATTATCAACAAAGCAGACAATTTTATGGTGGCCAAAGTCCCGATGACTTCCAACAGAATTTTCTCTCTTGCTATGTCACAAAATGGTGAAGTAGCATTCAAGAGTGAAAATCTGGATCAATCCTTCCTATGGCATCTCAGATACGGTCATCTCAACTTCAGAGGCCTCAAATTGCTGAGGCATAAAAATATGGTGGCGGGACTTCCCCAGATCAACAGAGAAGATAAAATATGTGAAGGATGCATATATGGCAAAATGCATCGTTTACCATTTCCAAAGACATCTTGGAGAGCAAAAGCGCCACTGGAGTTGGTACATGCAGACATATGCGGTCCAACCCGAACACAATCACTCAGCGGCAAAAGATACTTTCTACTATTTGTAGATGACTTCACCAGAATGATGTGGGTATTCTTTCTGGAGCAAAAGTCAGAAGCTTTTCCCAAGTTCCTTCAATTCCAAGCAGTAGCTGAGAAGGAAAGCGGCCATCAAATCAAAACTCTCCGTACAGATCGTGGAGGAGAATTTATTTATACTCCGTTCATGGAGTATTGCCGCAACAACGGGATAAAAAGGCAACTGACGGTCCGTTACACACCACAACAAAATGGCGTGGCAGAACGGAAAAATCGCACGATTGTGGAGATGGCGAGAAGTATGCTCACAGCAAAGAAGCTTCCCAACAACTTGTGGGCAGAAGCGGTCAATACAACAATTTACATCCTCAACAGATCACCAACCAAAGCAGTTCGGAACAAGACACCGATACATGCGTGGCACCACAGGAGGCCACAGGTGAATCACCTCAAAGTCTTTGGGTGCGTAGCTTATGCACATATCTCTACCCCAAACCGAGACAAGTTTGACCAGAAGGGTGAGAAGCTAATTTTTACCGGCTACAGTGATGAATCCAAAGGCTATCGTCTTTACAACCCAGTAAAGAACGAGGTGGTGGTTTCCCGAGATGTGATCTTTGATGAGATGGCGGAGTGGAATTGGGAAAATCCAATTTCTCAATCTCCACCAAGTTATGAAATTCTGGAGGACTCAGCAACTCCAGAAGACCCCAGCAACGACCCAGATCCAGTTGCTAGTCCAGAAAGAAATTCTGCACCTAGCCCAGAAGGAGACAACTTCAGAGACGTCGTAACAGACTCGGATTCACCTCCATTGAGAACAAGGTCTTTGCGAGAAATTTATGAAACAAGTCATGTGGCATATTTTTCTTGTGAGCCTCAAGTCTTTGAAGAAGCAACCAAAGATGAAGTTTGGAATGAGGCGATGGATGCAGAAATTTCCATGATCGAGAAAAACAAGACATGGGAGCTTGTTGATCAACCGGAGGACAAGCCGGTTATAGGTCTCAAATGGATCTATAAGATCAAATTCAATGAAGATGGTACTATCCAGAAGTACAAAGCTCGACTGGTGGCAAAGGGCTATTCACAGCAGCCCGGTATTGATTTTCACGAGACATATGCACCAGTAGCAAGGATGGAGACCATCAGAACAGTTCTCGCTCTAGCTGCTCAACTGGAGTTACCAGTATACCAGTTGGATGTCAAATCAGCATTTCTGAATGGAGAACTGGAAGAAGAAGTCTATGTGGAACAACCACGAGGCTATGAGAAGAAAGGAGAAGAAGACAAAGTCTATCGTCTCCGAAAGGCTTTATACGGGCTGAAGCAAGCACCGAGAGCTTGGAATAGCAGAATTGATCGATATTTTCAGCAAAACGGATTTCAAAGAAGTCCGAGTGAAGCATCTCTCTACATCAAAAAGGGAGAAGGAAAAGATTTTCTAATGGTTTGTTTGTATGTTGATGACTTGATTTACACAGGAACAAGTCAGCGGATGATTGAAGAATTCAAAAGTGCCATGATGAAAGAATTCGAGATGACGGACTTGGGACTCATGAAGTATTTCCTTGGGATCCAAGTGAAGCAGTCACCTGGAGAAATATTTATTTCACAGGAGAAGTACACCGAAGATATGCTGAAAAGATTTCACATGGCAACGTGCAAACCAATCTCAACACCGATGACGTTAAACGAGAAATTACAACGCAATGATGGAGCTGAAAACGTCGATGGAAAGCTGTACAGAAGTCTTGTCGGGTCACTCATTTACCTGACACATACCAGGCCGGATATATGTCATTCAGTAAGTCTTATATCAAGATTTATGAATGAACCTAGCAAACTTCATTTTGCAGCAGCCAAAAGAATTTTGCGGTATCTTCAAGGTACTAAAAAATTGGGCCTGACGTACAAGAAAGAAGCAGAAAGCAAGCTGACTGGATATACCGATAGTGACTGGGCAGGATCACTGGATGATCGAAAAAGCACATCGGGGTACATATTCTGTTTGGGTTCAAAACCCATTTCCTGGAGTTCAAAGAAGCAGAAGACTGTGGCATTATCTTCAGCGGAAGCAGAATATATCGCAGCTACTGATGCAGCATGCGAAGCGGTATGGCTAAAAAGATTAATTTCTGATTTGCAGCAAAATGAAAATGGTCCAACCATTATTCATTGTGACAACATGTCAGCCATAGCCATGACAAAGAATCCAGTATTTCACGCAAGATCGAAGCATATCGAGTTGCGTCATCATTTCATCCGAGACCTCGTCAATGAAGGGCTAATCGTGATGGAATTTATCAACACCGATGACCAGCCAGCAGATATCTTGACAAAGGCGGTCACCCGTGAGAAGTTCGAGAAATTCAAGCAGGTACTTCAAATTGCAAATTAAGAGGGGGTGTTGATTGGTAATTTGCAATTAAAAAATATAATAATAAATAAATAAAAGGTGGAAGGTTCCAAGCTTGGTACAGGAACACTACATAATTCAGCCTACCTAAGTTGACAAACTTCACATGGAGGAGTGCTTTACCAACAGGACATTGATAAGAAAAGCCACCTAATGTATTTATACTAGAGACATGGCATGCTTGGGAGATTCTCAAATATCATCATGTCTCCAATCCCATCTGTGAAAGAAGAAAAAGAAGGCAAGAGTTAATGCATGGGCCAATGGAATTAAATTTGTGTTTCCATCTTCCACAAGTGGCAACGTGGGTGGAGGAAATAGATGGCCATTTGTATTAATTGTAGTATTAGTTTCTCTTTCAATTGCAATTATATATATGTATGAAATGATATGGGATGGGTAGAGAAGAGAGTGTCAGAGAGACATAAAAAAAGAAAGAATGGAGTCTCTGTATCTATGTGAGTTGTAAGAACAAGTGCCAAAAATTAAGGCCTTGTTTGTTTGAGTGTTTATTAAATTGAGTGATTAAACACCATTGTTTTCTTTGTGTTGATCCTAATTTCTACCACAATTCCGCTAATCCCCAACAGAACAATGGTTTTAGAGCAGAAGGCGCAGAATGTCCAAGCGCCCCGTGCAAATCTAATGCTGATTGTTTTCCCCCAAAATACGTCTGTAATACGGGTATGGGGCTGTGCGTTTGCAACAATACCAAGCCAGTACTAAATGATGAAAACATCTCGTCCAAACTTCTTCTAAGGGAAAGGGAGCATGAAGAAGGGAATTAGAAATATGTATTTATATGAAAAAAACAATATTGACAGCAAAGTATCACTGAATAACCAAATGATCAATAAATTATTAGCCTGAACTTGGGTCTCACTCGAAGCACGATTTTGGCAACACTGTATATAAACAACGATGCCTCCAAATATTCGTGGAAACTGATATCGGGTCTTAATAAGCCCATGATTACGAATCCTATTGACGACGGCGAAACAGCTCTTCTGCTGTCGTCTCTTGACGCGCAAACGCAATCATCCATGCTGAGCTTTCTCCCTGTGCCTGATGCACTACGAGGGAATTTCTTTGTTTTGAGTTCCTTCGAGGATTTGGTTTTATGCGGGTTTGAGGTGTTGGCTTCGGGAGAGGATGAGATCGACAAGCCCCATGAGCTGAGGAGGTTGTTCTTCGTCTGCAATCCGTTTACACAGCAATGGATCGCCCTTCCTCTAGCGCCTGACAGGTCAACTGAGCATCAACATTTGTCGATTGCGAGTTTAGTTTGTGATTCTGATGGCGAAGGCCGAGTCGCTAGCGATCGATTCCGTGTCGTGCGAATTGCCGGATGGTTTGGCTCTCTGAAACTAGACTTGTTCCGCTCCGAGTCCGGGGAGTGGAGGAAAGAAGCACTGGCTCTGGCGCTGGATGATTTCCCATGGTCAGGAAGGGCGATGCCGTGGTGCAATGGCAAGTTGTATTTGTGTTTTGATGGCTCGAAAATTGCTGGGTGGGATCCTTTCTGCCCAGATACACCTCCAATGTCTATTGATGCTGTTGTTACAGCCTACGAAAGGAAGCCGCTTCGCTTTCCTCAAGTTTGCGCCTCACAAGATGCTTTGCACTTTGTTTATCTTGTACCTTGTCGTTGTTCAGGGGATATATTGAGTGTTTGGAGATGGGAGGAAGAAGACGATGGCGGAACATGGAGCAGAGCGCACGCAGTGGGTTTGAATATGTCTAACCATGACGAATTTCGGGATTTAAATGTGGATGGTGTACTTGCTATGCATCCGAGTAACCCTGACATTGTCTTCCTAGAGTTTTCTTCTAGCCAGAAACCATGCCTTGTCTACTCCTTGAATTTGAGGACGAGGGAGCTTAAGTTCTTTGCTGATCGAATACGTTCTACGGATTGGAAAGTGTTCCAACCGAGGTTCACTTACTGGCCTAGCCCAATTCCAAGTTACGAGGAACTGCGAGATCATCATGTGTATGATGGAAGCTGCGAGTGGTTGGTACAGAGCATCGAATCAACTCGGGCACCAACAACTACTACTGGTAATTACTAGTTACTTACTGTGTTTGCTCGCATTCGAAAGAACAATCAAGTTACAGAGGAGATGTTTGTGTGTATTCTGGAATCCTCTTTCCGTTTGTGTGGTCTCTCTAATCCCATATCTCTTCGTTTATGTTCCGGAGTAGAATGTCAACCGATTTATGGCGTTGGCGAACTTGGTCGTCGACCAAGGAAGCACAACAGTGGTACATCACCACAGCCCAAGCGTGCGGTTAAGAAGCAGATAGAGGCGAGAGGCTGGAATGACGTTGAACTGACAGATGCTGTTCCTGCACTCCATGTCATACCATACATAGATGATGAACTGTTGCGGTATGCTTGTGATTTGTTTGAAGAGGACAACAAGAAAGCAAAGAGTTCTCTTAGCATTGGATGGTGGAATCCAAAAGAAGTGGCTGCTAAGGTAGCTTTGCCGAAAGGAGGCTGTACAAAAGGCCTGTTGCTTTGCATCCTCTGTATCATCATAGTATCAGTGACGATGGCACTTTAGGTGTCTGCTTCCCTCTATTATTATTGCTTGCATACTTCTGCCTTACCCTTAGACGATGATAGTTTCTTTTTTTTTTTTTTTTTGAAAGGAGAGACATAAGAGAAGCTTAGATAGTAGAATGAAAATGTTATTCGGTAAGAGTTGTAAGAGGTGAGATATTTGATAAGCAAAACTAAAGCTGATTTTCCAGCTATCATCAAGTAGCTACTTTGGATTCCACTGCGCAGTTGATATGCGTAAGCTTGTGATTGCTCAGCTCGATCCCCTGCACTAGTGCGAATGCCAGGCTCGACGTCAGACCAGGAGTAGTGCCACTGCTACCAAACTGCCTGTCCCTGCATTTCTTAGCAGCAGGTTTGCTCTGCCGAGCTGCTACTCGAGCCTTTCTTCCAGCCTGACCAAGCATTCCATAACCTTCCCCTAGCACATAACCCACAAAACTATTCCAAATATCTCAATTTGATCAATATAGTCCACACGGAGCTCAGATGTTGCAGTAGGAATACTAGCAGGGTTTTCGTCTTGCCGCCAAGACGTTGAACATTGCAAGCAGTCATGTTGGCTAGCAAAGAGAGGTCACCAGCGGTGCCCATGAGCTTTGCTGTGCCACAGCACTCCCAACAACAGCAGAAAGATTCGGCGCGATGTACCCCATTCTATTCTCCACGAAATCAACAACCTTTCTCTTGCATAATCCAGAGCGAGAGCTCGATCACAGGCTCGATCAACCGTCTTTCAGAGCACATCCTCAGGTAGAGGTCGCCCAATTGTGATTGATGCCGTCACTGAAGCAACCATAATGATAGCCGACGGCAGAAGGCCTTGTAAATCAACAAGTGTCAAATCCGTCTCGTTGCTGATTCTCTTCACAACGCGAACATAGTTAGTCGGATGGTGGACAAGCAACTCCTGCTCGGGGAACTTCAACCGATACTTGTCACGAATGAAATTGTGGAAGGTAGCAATTTCATTCTTAATGTCTAGGCACAATGCATTACAGTCCACTCACATTTCAAATCCAACAAGTAAACAACGGGCTAAACTTTTACTAATGGCATTATGGCAAGATGTAAAATATGCTTATACCGTATGATTGAATTGGTAGTATCAAATCTCGATGAGAACAACACCAGCACCAGTGGTCTAGTGGTAGAATAGTACCCTGCCACGGTACAGACCCGGGTTCGATTCCCGGCTGGTGCATTCCAAATCGAGTTATGATGAACTCTGCGCTCTCTGTGGGAGTGGTCCTCCCGCTAACGTCTGATCTTCGGACGAAATGTGAGCGCACCTGAACTCGATTCTTTTTTATTTTCCACTTCCCCATCTTTTTTTTTCTTCGTTCCCATTGGCTTCTTTCTTACTGCCCAACATTTCCTCCCTTTTTCCAGTAGCTCAGTTTACCCCAAAATTCACAACCTCTCAACAGCTACTCTTTTCATTCCTGCAGGATTCCGGTGTCTTGTTGTTCAGTTTCATCCTCAACCAGCCCAAAATTCACATCCTTCTCTCCCAGAAGAAATATGGGTAGTTGCTGCTTAAGGAGCCATCAGCTACCGATTCAGTCTCACCGTAGCTTCGTTGGGTCCTCTTCCGATTACCCTCTTCTCCCTTCTTTTCCTCGTCTTGATCTCCAACGTTCCCGGCGCCTCCGCTCGGCGGCTCTCATCCGTCGTACAACAACCACCACCACTAGAATTTGTTGCCAGTATGATGGCACCGGCAGGAAACCAGCTCAGCAATCCTCTTCTCCAACTGGAATTCAACTCTATGGTGAAATTGAGAGGTAGGACCTTGGTTTCTTCTCTTGAACAATCAATATTTTGGTCTGAACCCATGGGTGATATATCCTGTTTTGGTCTTTCTCTGTACACGACAGGATACTTACTGAGACTGTGAGGCAGTCGCAAGGTGGTTGGGGCTCTTTGACCGACTGGACTGAGATTGAGGTCTTCTTTCTTCCACCCCTTTTTCACTTTTAATTATTGAATTGGATTGTTACTGGATTACTGATACCCCAGAAAGGATAAACCATTGTTCATTAGACTTGCTCAAAATCTGACAACTTTACCCCCCAATGGATAAGAAAATTGAAACACGAGATAGTATATCGTCAAAAACTCATGTATAAGTCTGTCATGCATCCCATTAGCTCTCGGTAACATGGAGGGTTGTAACTGAATCTTATGTGGTTATGCCTACCTGCCTGCCTGTCTCTTACAATTTTCATCTTGCAGGATCATAATGGTATTCTGAAGCTGGTTTCTTTTCATTATGCTGCTTATCTGGTCATTTTGACCTTAAGGTCGTGTTCTGTCATTTCTGCTGGTCGTCATATGTCTCTGATTCTCTGTAGTGGTAACTTACCATGTTCCAGCGGGTACTAGCTCCTATTTCTACTAACCAAAAGAGGTTAGGGTGGGCTCGACCATCATTCGAACAATAGACTGAGACAATACAATAGAGCAGAATAGGCTCGACCATCATTCAAATAATATACGGAGACAACATCATAGAGCAGAATCTAAGTCCAAGTCTGCCATTTGCTATGTTTGGAACTTGGGTGAACAACTACTGGAGCTCTTTCATCTAGTTGTAAGTTGTTTTGGCCCTTGAGTCCATATTTTAATATTTAGGTTTTCTTAATGGTGCATTCTCAGGGAGCTTGGGTTCTCAAGCCAAGAAATGGAAGAGCTAACTCTGTGGTCCATTTCATTGGTGGCATATTTGTTGGAGCAGCACCACAATTGACCTACAGATTGTTTCTTGAGCACCTTGCAGAAAAGAAAGTTGAAATCTCTTATTTTTTTGGTAATGAAAGAGCTGCATTGGCGATGAAATTGTAGTAACACGTACTGACAGCAGAGCATCAACTAAATACTTCAAGTTTCACTTAGTCCGTTCCAACTATTGTTGACTAATAGTAACTAAAACGATGCTGATAGTTGCCATTTTTTCCTGTTGATCTAGGGTGTAATGGTGATCGCAACACCTTATGCCAGTGGGCTTGAATATTTCCACATTGCAGATGAAGCTCAATTTAAATTCGATAGAGCTTTCCGCTTCTTACAAGAATCTGTAGGTTTCACTTATTTTTGTCTATTGGAGGATGATTTACTCCTTATCCGTGTTCTCATTTTGTTATTTAATGTCTATTGATTAGAATATAAACTGAATAGTATGACCGGAGTCTTCGTACAGGTGCAAGATCTTCCTACCTTTGGTATGGGTCACTCTTTGGGGTCTGTCATTCACCTTCTGATTGGTATATGCTAGTTCATCCTTGTATTATCTTTCTTTCAAGATTGTGTTTCTCACAGTTATTTGACAAGAAGTGAACTTGCTGTTTAGGATCACGTTATGCTGTGCAAAGAAGTGGGAATGTACTGATGGCGTTCAACAACAAGGTAGGTCTTTCCTTGAAAATGTAGAATGCAGTTGTCAGTCATCATAGGAATTAGAATACCCTCCTCTTTATTTGATGGTCCAGTAAAGCTTTCTGATGTTTCCTGAATCTTAAATTTCTATACAAAAATGAAGTACACAAATATGTAGGAGACCAACATCTTTTTCTGAATTAAGGACTTGATACTTCTTCGTTTTTTGTTCCTCAGGAAGCAAGCCTAGCTATCCCTCTTTTCTCACCTGTTCTTGTGCCAATGGCTCAAAACATGGGCCCAATTCTATCACAGATAGCCTCATCACCGACAGTCCGCATGGGGTGAGATCCTGAAACAATAGTTTATGAATCATTAATGCCTCTTTCACATCGTGCTTTCTTGCATCTTACTGTATTAGGATTCTAAGAGCTGAATCCAAACACCATGGCTTTTAGTGAGACAGACGTGCAATTTATGCTCTAGGAATACCTTTCTGGCTGTATTTCATTTGATCTTTTTGATTATGATCGTGGCATGCTTCTGTAATGTTGACATGTGCGAGCTATTCTTTCTTAATGCGTTTCTTAATTCCTTTCAGTTGCTTAGTGAAAATTTGTGGAAGTCTCTGTATGTGAGCTCTGTAACTGACTGTTTATTTTGTTAGTGGTAGCAGCTATAAGCAACATGTTTCTAGTTGATCCTCTTCACTTGCCTCTCCTTTTTAATCTGCCCCATATTTCAGTTTCCTTTATGCCACGATCTCATGTATACTAATCTGTATAAGGTTGTTGCAGGCTGAAATAACATTGAAGCAGATAGAGAACCTCCTCACTCCTCCATTCATGAAACAAGCATTCCCATTAATTGAGCAACTTCCTCCTTTATACATGGACCTGGTTAATGGAAGAGAAGAGTTCAGTACAAAACCTGAAGAAACCCGCCACCTTGTATGTCAATCACCCCCTCCTCCTCCTCCCCCTCTCCTATCTAGTGTGTTTTTCCCGCCTGCACCATTTGGTGCAAATTGCTAACATTTGGTATCTTGTTGTCGAATTCCAGATAAAATCATATTATGGAGTCTCTAGAAATCTTCTGATAAAGTTCACCGACGATTCCGTCGATGAGACCTTGTCGTTAGCCAAAGTTCTGAGTTCAGAATCAGCCATTAGCTCGCTGCTGGACATGTCAATTCACTCACTACCGGGAGATCATGGTCTCCCTCTGCAGCAGGTTAAACATATTCTAATGAACCATGAATAATCTGCAACCACGCTGGCAAGTTTAAGTACCAAAAGCTTGTTTCTTACGATCCAAATTGTCCACCTATGCAGGGATTACCTGATGTGCCGCCTGCAATGGCAGATGCAGTTAACAGAGGAAGCGAGCTGTTCGCGAATCTGGCAGTTGGAACGCCATGGATGGTAGAATCCGAAAGAAGTGGCTGCTAAGAAAACTTCGCCCGAAGTAGTCTGCATAAAGGGCATTGCTTCACCAGAATTACCAGTGGTAGCCATTTAGGCCCCTACTTAGACGCATGCTTCCCTGTATCATTGCTATATATGGGCGTTGGTCCGTGCTTGGGCCGGCACGACATGGGCACGCTTCGGGCCCATTTATTTCATGTCGTACCCGTCATTTTTTGTGTCGTGCCATGCAAGCCCATTTGTTAACTTTGCTAGGCCCGGCCCAGGCCCGGGCACGGTTCGAATCGTGCCGTGCCTATTCGTGCTCGTGCCATGCTCGTATTCGTGTTTAATGAAAAGGACGAAAACAAATGAGAGGATGAAAAAGAAGGTAAAAATTGGACGGGGGAAGATAGTATTAACCGACAATGTTGGAGAAAAGTAACACATAAGGCGGAAAAGAAAATTGGAAGTATAGCGAGTATGCTTTGGCTTTGGTTAATTTTTTGTCCATTTTTACTTATGTTAGTAATTATGTATATATCTTTATGACACTTCTAACAACAACAAATAATTATTTTTCTACTTGTGTTTTGTAATATTTGAACCTATAATTCTTTTTATATTTATTTTCTATCAAATAAATATTATTTTCGTGCCATGTCCATTCTTATACTCAATAAAGTCTCGAAAATATTATGCCCGACACAACCCACTTATATATCGTGTTGTTCCCGTGCTTGTGCCCGTGCCCATGAAGTTTAGACCCGACATGGCCCATAAATTATTCGTGCTCGTGCCGGGCTGGTCCATTTATTTCGTGCCCGTTCTCATGTCGGGCTCTAACTGTGTCGTGTCGTGCTAGCCAGTGCGCGACACTGCCCGATGCCCACGTACAATCATTGCTCAAAAGTTAGTGACGGGATACGCTGTTAATCCCTTGGGCTACACTCGTAATGGTCATTCAACTTCAACTTGTATTTCAATGCTGTAAAACATGATCGTATAGACACAGGGTTACGAGGAAGTAAAAGAGAAGCTTCAATTGAGGTCGTTGGGCTATGCTTAGCTACCTTTTCTGGTCGAGGATCCCACTCGGCTTCAATGGAGATATATAATCCAATTGTTAATCAGTGAACTAATGGGATTTGACCTCTTCCTCACTCTACAAATACTCGAACTACGGTGGCGAGTCCAGTGGCAGAACTCGCATCTAGCCTCTTCACCATGTACAGTGTCCAAGTGAAGAACCAGTGCATGGTTTTATCAGGGACCGGATATTATAACAACACTATATTTGTTGTTATTGTAACAACAACATAGGTGGACCAATAGGAACGCACCATTCTGCATACTTTTGAAATTCATGCGTTGACTAGGGTAAAAAACAAATGAAGGGTATTTTTGTCCTACCGAAAAGTTGCAGCTCCTTTTGTCCGAAAAAGTGCAGCTCGTTTCTCACCATTCTCTCTCCAATCGCGCGGCGCCGAGGCTGAACGACGGGCGACGAAATCCTCATCGCAGCAGCTACTGCAACGGCGGCGACGAGATCGTGACGGAGCAGCTACCGCAACGCGCGGCGACGAGATCCTGACGGAGCAGATACCACAACGGCGACGAGATCGTCATCGCGGCAGCTACTGCAACGGCGGAGACGAAATCCCGCGCAGCAGCTATTGCAACGCGCGGCGATGAGATCCTGACGCAGCAGCTACCGCAACGGGGACGAGATCGTCATCGCAGCAGCTATCGCAACGGTGGCGACGAGATCTGATCGCACCAGCTATCTCAACGACGGCGACGAGATCTGATCGCAACGGCGGCGACGAGATCTGATCGCACCAGCTATCGCAACGGCGGCGACGGCGGAGAAAGCTCCTGATCGCAGCTAAGACATTGACGATGGACGAGAATCGTGTAGATGAAGTTTCTGTTGGTTCTGTAGATGCTCAACAACTCGTGCAAATTGCAACATCTTCTGAAGCAACAGAAGGCGGATATCAGCTGGAAACCTCTATTTCCACCAACAGTGGCAACAATGAACAGGAAGAAGGTACGCTCAACTCAATCCTTTCCTGTTTTCTTACAATGAGCACCATAATCACGCTTATACAAGCCATTTACCATATCATAAACACTTCCAATCAAACCGCCCACAAAAATCCCACAAACGATACCAATAGCATCGCCAAACACACCACATTCTTCCCAAAACAAACCACAAGAAAAAAGAGACAATCAACCAAAACACTTAAAAACCAAACCACAAAACTTCTTAAACGCACCAAAACACCTCCAATCCACACCATTAAAACCTAAATCTGTTTGCAAAAAAACTTTTTGCAATCTGTTTGTAAAAAAAAAATCACACTGTAATGCAAATCATAAATGTCATAAAAACATCATGAATAACTACAATGCAAACCACTTTTCACTTTTCTAGCAAATATCATCGCAAGATGAAATGATCAAACCGCCCACAAAAATCCCACAAACGATACCAAAAGCATCGCCAAACACACCACATGTTTCCCAAAACAAACCACAGGAAAAAAAGAGACAATCAACCAAAACACTTAAAAACCAAACCATAAAACTTCTTAAACGCACCAAAACACCTGCAATACACACCATTAAAACGTAAATCGTTACATTCCACAATCTTTTTGTAAAAAAAATCATACACTGTAATGCACACCATAAATGTCATAAAAGCATCATGAATAACTACAATGCAAACCACATTTCACTTTTCTTGTAAATATTATCGCAAGATGAAATGATCAAGTGCTCATTTCTTTCATCATTGCTTACAGGTGTGACATCAAACAGGACCGAGTTAGACTACACTTGTTTGGGGTTGGCATTCAAAACCATTGAGGAAACAAAACAATTCTACAAGAACTATGCTCACGATCTTGGCTTCAGCGTGAGGGACATGGGAGCTGTCAAACGTTCTACAAAAAGACAGCCAACCAAAACAGCACGATATGCTAGGTATTGCTGCAGCAAAGAAGGATACAAGACCACAAGCAAGTCAAATCCCAAGAATAAAGGAACAATCGATGTCAAGGCTTATCAACGTGCTGTACCAGAAACTAGAGTTGGCTGCCCAGCTATAATCAAATTTAGATATGATATCGAGAAGGATGAATGGCTGCTGGACAAGTGGATAACAGAACACAACCATGATCTCCTCCCTGCAAAATTCAAACATCTATTGAGGTCCAACAAGGGGATCTCAGAAATGCATGCAATGGTCGCACAAGTGCATGCAGATTGTGGAGTTTCACTACGGAAATCGTATGAGTTGTTCACCACAACTTCAGGGGGGAGGGAGAATGTACCTTTTACCCCTCATGATCTGAAGAACTATATCACAGGGACAAGGCAGAAATCAATGAAACCAGGCGAAGCAACTATACTTCTTGAATATTTTCGCCACGAAGCTTACAGGAATCCATCATTCTTCTATGAAATTGAGGTAGATAGTAACGAAGATATTGCAAGTATATTCTGGGCTGATGCAAGAATGCGGTTTGACTACAGTTGCTTTGGAGATACGATCAGCTTCGACACAACATACAGGACAAACCAGAATTATCGTCCACTAGGTCAGTATTCCTTGCACTATTTAATTTTCTTGAGATTTCGAAGTTGAATGCATACCAAACATTACACAATGCATGAGGAGGTTTCTGGTGTGCTTTTGCAAATGTTGTGGTTTGCTTTGTGAGGTTTCTGGTTTTCTTTGTGAAGTTTGTGGTTTGTATTAAGAGGTTTATGGTCTCTGCTTCCGCAAATGTTGTGGTTTGCTTTGTGGGGTTTGTGGTTTGTTTTATAAGATTTGTGGTATGCATTAAAAGGTTTGTGGTTTGCATTAAGAGGTATTCCTTGCTTAATTTTCTTGATATTTCGAAGTTGAATGCATACCAAACATTACCCAATGCATACCATAAGTAACATAAAACCACCCCAAAACACTCTTAAAACAAACAACAAAAAAACATGAAACATTCATTTTGAGAATCCTAACCAGAAACCTTATAAACCATACTAAACACGTCCTGAAACACACCATATATATCATAAAAGACAGTCTTTTGTTTGTTTCAATGTTTAATTCTATGTTCTTTTTTTTATTTTTAAATTACAGCTTTGTTTGTTGGCTTCAACCACCATCGAGCACTCTGCATCTTCGGGGCTGCTCTCCTTTATGATGAAACAACCGCTACATTCAAGTGGTTGTTCGATGCATTCTTGAAATGTATGTCAGGCACCCGACCAACATCAATATTCACCGACCAAGCTGCTGCAATCGCCGCTGGGATTAGATCCGTCATTCCTGAAGCATTCCATGGCTTATGTACTTTTCATATCAAGCAGAATGCAATGAAGCATCTCGACACCACAAACACAAACATTCTAGAAGATCTGCAATATGTCACTTTTGGGGTAGAAAATGAGGAAGAATTTGAGTACAATTGGTCAAGGTTGCTAGACACACATTATCCAGAAGAAGGCACCAATCCAAGGAACTGGTTGGATTCAATTTACAAGGTGAGGAAACAGTGGTCTTCAGCATGGATTAAGGACCACTTCACAGCTGGTATGCGAAGCTCACAGCTGAGTGAGTCTTGTAACAGCAACCTCCGAAACTACCTTCAATCAGATGACAACCTAGTTGAGTTCTTCACATACTTCAACAAGTTTGTCGAACGGAAAAGATCAGACGAAATGGACATGGATTATCAAATGGCAAACACAGTCCCAAACACCATGTACGTATTACTTCCTTTATTTGAACTTTTTATACTGTAGAATGCATCCACATAACAGTTGAATACAACCCAGATACCACCTAAACCAACCCAAAAACCCTACAATCCACACCACAGACCACCTAATACAAACCATAAACACCACAATGCACACCGCACAAGCTTAAACAACCCAGATACCACCTAAACCAACCCAAAAACCCTACAGTCCACAACACAGACCACCTAATACAAACCATGAACTACACAATCCACACCACACACAACGTAAAACAACCCATAAATCCCACAATCCGCACCACAAACAGTACAATACATACCATAAAATCATTAATGTAGACAAGATGCTTATGAATGATTGTATGTTGCATGTCATCTTCCAACAGGTATGACAGAAGCCCACTTGTTCAGCAAGTCGCGAAATTATACACAACTAAGATCTACAGTTCTTTCCTTGAGGAGTATTCAGAAAGCCTTGCTTTTTTTGTGTTCCGGAATGAATCTATGGATAGAGATGGAATGACAGCTTATGAAGTGAAGAAACTAGGAGGATTCGACAAAAGAGTCGTGTTAGTGAACAAAGAGGAGAAGAAATACAAGTGCTCATGTCGTTTGTTTGAAAGTTCAGGCTGGTTGTGCAGACATATAATCAGGCAGATAGAGATGGTTGGATTCAATGGTGATGATATTGAGCAATTGACTATCCCTAAGGAATACATTCTGCCACGATGGACGAGAGATGCCAAATCTGGAGAGAAGTTCACAATAAACACAACAGAATGTGCTGCAACAGATACTTATGCAGGGAGGTATCAAGAACTGTGTGCTAGCATGGTTATCCTAGCAACAAAAGTCTCAATGAATGACAAGGTCTTCTC